GTGAATGTAATCAATAGATTAGCATCAGAGAGTGTATCTGTACACTGGCATGGGATGCATCAAAGGAACAGTAACTGGATGGATGGAGTGGAGCATGTTACACAGTGTGGTATACCCCCAGGAGCTAGTTTTACTTATTATTTCTATGCTAGACCATCTGGTACTCACTGGTACCACTCTCACAGTGGAGCTCAGAGAACTGATGGACTCTTTGGAGCTCTCATTGTTAAAGAGAAGGAGCAAGGTAATGCACAATACACTGCCTTCCTGAACAAGTTGAATGACACAAACATACAGGAGGACACTTATGTGGATAATCCTAATGAACACACTCTCACTCTTCTTGACTGGCAGAAGAGTAGCTCACTGGATCTCTTCACACTAATACACTCAACTATAAGATACTTTGACATTGACAAAGCATCGCAACTACAAGGATCAGGAGCTGATAGAACCTATTCATCAGATGGTGCAGAGATAGGGCCCGTGCCTTATTGGTCTGGACTAATAAATGGAAGAGGAAGGCATAATAGTGTTAATTACATCAATTCTAGCTTAAGCGAGTTCAAAGTTACTGCAGGACAAACTTATCGATTTCGTTTAATTGGTGCTCAGAGTCTTTATGCTTATCGTTTCTCAATAGAAGATCATAAATTAATCGTCATAGCAACTGATGGTCAGTTTATTGAACCTATTGAAGTCGATTATATCATAATACATTCTGGAGAAAGATATGACTTCCTTTTGAAAACAAAATCGGAGACTGATCTAGTCACCACTCAACAGTTCATGATACGTGCAGTTACATTAAGTTTTACTGCAACATCAACTTATGCAACAGAACAGTCAGCAGAAGCTATTCTCAATTACAACAGTGCTACTACACCATCCAGTCAATATGCAAATATCGCAGCTAGAAGTCAAACTGTTAGTCAAAGGTGCATTGATAGTGATAAGTGTGTAGCTCTTAACTGTCCATTCGAGAAATTTCCAGATAATTTCAACATCAACTGTACTCATATTCATCAATTGCAACTGCTAACTGACTATCCTGGAGACCTGCCTGATGTTGCTACTAGTAATAATTCAAGGTTATTCTTCAATTTCGGTTTTGAAGGAACACGTCAGACCAGCACTATTAATGGACGTAACCTAAAACTACCATCAGCATCACTGGCACAGCTTGAGGCAAGCGAATTGACCAATATTAGGAATAATGAATATTGTGAAGATGAGAAAAATGAGAATGATGAAAAGAAGTGTGATCGTGATAACACAGAAGAAGTCATATCCACCGATTGCTACTGCACTCATGTCATTGAGGAAGAGGCTGACCAGTCAATTGAGTTAGTGATATCAGCCACTGGACCAAACCCTACACAACTAGAGAACTTTCTATTTGCTCATCCAATCCATCTACATGGTCACTATTTTCACGTCGTTGATATTCAATTTGGAACAACTGATCCTGTCACAGGAAGACTTACCGCTGGTAATAGTGATATTGATTGTGGAGGTGATACACTATGTGTTAGACCTCGCTGGAAACCTAATAGGGACTACTCTACACGTACAGGAGTGACAGGTAGGGTCTCATCTAAAGCTCCATTAAAGGATACTCTGTTAATACCAGCTGGTGGGTATGCTGTTGTGTATTTTAAAACTGATAATCCTGGTTGGTGGTTCCTACACTGTCATATTGAGGTACATCAATTGGAGGGAATGGGAGTCATCATTAATGAAGGAGGCTTTAAAACACCACCACCTGATGGCATGAATAAATGTGGAAATTTTCAACTCACAACAAATGAGTTTAATGAAGCAATTGCTGTTACTACATCACCAACACCAACACCAACATCAACTGAAGGTGGAAGTTCTACAGGGTATATTATTGGCATCTCAATCACATCTGTGGTTGCATTTCTGGAGTTTATCATAATAATCATATTAATAATCTTATTATGCTTAAAGTAACAATTGCATGAATTGGAACATGACACATAGTTAAATATAGTAGTTTTAGATTATGTCGTAGTAATGTTACAATTTAGTAGTTCCCATGTTTGAACTAATATTTTGGTTTGTAGCTGATTAAAAATGTTTCAGTAAAACTAAATTGTTAAGAAAGCAGAGAGGGGAGAAGAAGAGAAAGGAAAAAAAACAAAGCAGGAAGACTGTCTATACATGATAACATCAAGAGTATACCACAAATGAAATACAACAAACAGTAAACCACACTGTACATGCAGAAATAGTTTCAGCATACAAACTATAAACTATTATACATGTATATACCAGATCACTTCAGTAAACAAATATAAGGTTGGTCTACACAGTCATGTCATAATATTCTCCCCACTAAAATAAAATTTGTAATTTATAATTACATTGCCTGATGTTAATATCTAAAATTAAGTGGTCTAACGGTTGTTATAGAAACCACTGCCAATGAATATTTAAAATTGTTCAGATATGTTTTAGATACATATTGAATACACTAAGAGAAAGATCACCAGTAGACAATGGTATTATAGATGAACCAATATATCATGTACCAACTGAACAACAAGAACATATCATTGGTATTGAACATAACACTGCTTATGGACACACACTTTAATAATTACAATTGATAGTGTTACTATCTCAGTGTGTGTGTGTGTGCGTGTTCACTGTAATCTAATTATACTGAGTTACTGTATTGATATCCACCCACAAGGTATACTAACATTAGCTTTGTGCTACAAATGTTACAGCAACTGTGAAGCAACTGAAGAACATAACGTATGAGTTGTCATTCATAACAAATTCGCTGGGACATTAAAAAATTTAGTTAAAAATATATCTTCATAAAGTTTCTGTACCCAAAATTTATCACTTATGAACACATTATATTCTACCAATTGCTAAAAGATAAACAACTTTAAAAGGTTGTATGTCTGTACAGTGTACACACATGCCAGGGCATGGTAAGCGACAGAGCCCTTACAGTCTTATTGGTTACTACTTACTGCTACATGTAAACATAGACTATACATGTACATGTACATTTGATATGTCATCATATCCATAAACACAGTGTATATTATAGTCTGATGTACAGTATTTAATATAGTCTGATTTACACCAGGTCCACCATTGGACCACACAAATTATTAGTAACATTGCACCACATAACAGATGTCTCTCAGTCTGATATGGAACAAGACTATAATGTATTACTTAGCACAGTGTATTTAAGATTGGAATGATGTAGGAGAGCAGTTATTATTATAAATTTGATTATAGTACTCAGCAGTCTACACAAGACACCTGTTAAACAATAAAAACCACTTATATATTAAAGACTCTGTAGTATTGTATAAGTACACAAGAAGTAGAAAGCATTAATGACCATTAGGTCTAAAGGCTGGTTCACAATATGACATTAGGCCAGCGTACTGTCAATTTTTAATCAAAAGAGTGGGCGATTTGACCTTTTGATGCATGCTTTCCGCTGGAATAGCCAAATTCTATTCCAGCATCAATGTAATGTCAAGCCTATCGTAATATTGTAAACCAGGTATGCTATTATTGATGCAGTATATGTACATTAAACTAACTAGTATAGTATGACCTCAAAGAAGAGGTGGGCATAAGGTAGATATAGAATAACTGAAGGTGTGTATTCACTCCCACTCATTCACAAACTCTTCCTTCCTCTTACTACACAATGTATAATGCTATCTTTACTACACAATAGTGTGGTATCTATGTGCTTCATCTGACTATGTTATACCATTAGTATCATGGCCCAGGAGAAATTACTTCTGTAGTGATCAAAACATGTGAATGTATCAGTAGTAAATGTACTCTCATTTCTATCTTAATAATATGAATGTCTGAGAGACAAGAAATCAAAGTAAATATCAGTATGTACTACAAAATACAAATTATCTATCCAAAATTAGATTAAGTTAGAATTACTGTAGCAATAATAACATGTAGGAGAGGGAGTTTCTAAGGGTAACACCACAATGACCACCCTGAAGCCATACACTAAATGACACCATTGCACATCCATTCATTCATTCTTTGGAGCAGAATATCTCTACAAAGATCCTTATAGTCTCTTCCTTTTTCATCTTCTTTGCTAGTCCATTAGATACAAAAGCTGAAGAAGTTACTTGCAATCACAATACTCCAGTATGTGAATGTACAGCTACTAATCCTAATGATGTATGCGAGTTTAGACTTGACCAGTAGACATTGGCCCAATATATGATTTACCAACTATCAGCAATGAACAACAAGAACAAGTCATTGATACTACACCTAACACTGCTTATGGACAAATTTAATAATACATTTATAATTTTATTTTCGCAGACATACATTAATATAGAAAATAAGGGTGTATAGTAACACGATGTATCTTGGCACAGCAACCTTGAAACTTACTATTTTACTAGTGGCAATTAAAACAGGGCAATAAAAAGTCTTATTGATTAGGAACAAACAACTTTCATGATAGTCCGCAACAAAGTGGAGGGACCAGACTACTTTTATGATAATTTTCATTTCATCTTTGCTATACAAGTTAATAGTATAAAGCAATTATAATCATACAAACCAGTTCACTCCAAGACTCATTATCTAAACAAGCAATTCCAGGAATTGTGTACTATTAATGCATTTCTATACTTATAGTTATTAGAAAGGAAGGTACCTGTGGTATAGGTTGTATAAACACAGTGGAAATGGTATGTATAAAATCCCATCCCACTTCTTAGGAACAGTATCAGTCATATGGATTCATATACCACATAAATACAAACTGCACTTCACTGATCAATCATTCAGTCAGTCAGTTTGTGACAGAATAATGATTCGGCTTTCAATGCTACTTGAAGTCTTTTGTCTTCTTATCCTCGTATCTCATCAGCAGGTTATTGCTGAAGTTGTAACTTGCAATCACAATACTCCAGTATGTGAATGTACAGCTACTAATCCTAATGATGTGTGTGAGTTTAGACTTGATATTGAGATGCTGCAGACCTTCACCCGATATCTGCTTGATGAGGATGAAGACTCAAGGGGTACTGCAGGCAGTGTCTGGCGTATTAATAACGGAGAATGGGAAAGAGTTAATCCTAAAGACACACTCTGTGGTAGTTCTATTGATAGTACTAACTGCACTCAACCGTTTACTGTTGATGGGTACACGTTTCGTTCCTTTATAGCAGTCAATGGACGTATACCAGGACCAACACTCATTGTAACTGAGGGTCAGTTGGTTAAAGTGAATGTAATCAATAGATTAGCATCAGAGAGTGTATCTGTACACTGGCATGGGATGCATCAAAGGAACAGTAACTGGATGGATGGAGTGGAGCATGTTACACAGTGTGGTATACCTCCAGGGGCTAGTTTTACTTATATCTTTAAAGCTGAACAATACGGGACTCACTGGTATCACTCTCACAGTGGAGCTCAGAGAACTGATGGACTCTTTGGAGCTCTCATTGTTAAAGAGAAGGAGCAAGGTAATCTACAATATACTGCCTTCCTGAACAAGTTAACTGAAATGAACATACAGCAGAATACTTATGTGGATAATCCTGGTGAACACACTCTCACTTTTCTTGACTGGCAGAAGTCAAGCTCACTGGATCTCTTCACACTAATACACTCAACCATTAGATACTTTGACATTGATAAAGTATCAGAACTGTCTGGATCAGAACCTGATAGAACCCGTTCATCAGATAATGCAGAGATAGGGCCCGTGCCTTATTGGTCTGGACTAATAAATGGAAGGGGAAGGCATAATGATACTGACTACTCTAATTCTATTTTAAGTGACTTTAATGTCACAGCTGGAAATACGTATCGATTTCGTTTAATTGGTGCTCAGAGTCTTTATGCTTATCGTTTCTCAATAGAAGATCATAACTTAACAGTAATAGCAACTGATGGTCAGTTTATTGAACCAGTGACAGTTGATTACATTATAATACACTCTGGAGAAAGATATGACTTCCTTTTACAAACAAAAGCAGAGAGTGACCTTGTCTCCACTCAGCAGTTCATGATACGTGCAGTTACATTAAGCTTCACTGTAACATCAACTTATTTACAAGAACAGTCGGCAGAAGCTATTCTCAATTACAACAGTGATGACACGCCATCCAGTGAATATGCAGGTATTGCAGCTAGAAGTCAACCTGTTGTTGAGAGATGTACTTCTACTGATGAGTGTGAAGCTCTTAACTGTCCATTCAAGAATTTTCCAGATAATTTCAACATTAACTGTACTCATATTCATCAATTGCAGCTGCTAACTGACTATCCTGGAGATCTGCCTGATGTTGCTACAACTGCAAATAGTCCAAGATTATTCTTCAATTTTGGTTTTGAAGGAACACGTCAGACCAGCACTATTAATGGCCGCAACCTAAAACTACCATCAGCATCACTGGCACAGCTTGATGCAAGTGAACTAACTGGTATTAGGAATAATGAATATTGTGAAGACGAGAAAAATGAGAATAATGAAAAGAAGTGTGATCGCGATAACACAGAAGAAGTCATATCCCCTGATTGCTACTGCACTCATGTTGTTGATGTGGAGGATAGTCGTTCCTATGAATTAGTAATATCAGCCGTTGGACCAAACCCTATGTCACTAGGCAACTTTCTATTCGCTCATCCAGTACATCTTCATGGACATTACTTTCATGTCGTTGATATCCAATTTGGCAAATATAACGACAATGGAGAACTATCTGATGGCAATAGTGATTTAAATTGTGGAGGTGATACACTATGTGTTAAGCCTCGCTGGAGAAATAATAGAGATTACTCTACACGTAAAGGAATGACAGGCAAAATTTCATCTAAAGCCCCACTGAAGGATACTCTGTTAATACCAGCTGGTGGGTATGCTGTTGTGTATTTTAAAACTGATAATCCTGGTTGGTGGTTCCTACACTGTCATATTGAGGTACATCAATTGGAGGGAATGGGAGTCATCATTAATGAAGGAGGCTTTAAAACACCACCACCTGATGGCATGAATAAATGTGGAGACTTTCCACTGGCAACAGACCAGTTTATTTCAGCAACTGCTGTTACTGCATCACCATCACCAGAACCAACACTAACAACAACAACAGTAGTGAGTACAGTATTTATGCCAACAACAATTCAAATAACACCAACAAACACCAACAGTGGTGGTGGTGGAGGTGGTGGTACTAAATGCTTTCCTCCAGATGCAGTAGTGCGTACAAGAAATGGTCCATTGCTCATGAAAGATGTTGAAATTGGAATGGAACTTTTAGCCTTGAGTTCTAACCATGAACTAGTCTATAGCCCAGTTATATTGATGTTAGATGTTGATGACATTAAACTAGCAAATTATACTATCATAGAGTCATCAGGTAATCACAAACTGACACTCACACCAAACCACCTTGTTCATGCAAGTAAAACAAATGACATCTCATCATCTGTACCTATATTCGCTTCACAAGTGAAAAAAGGTGACAAGATATTTGTTGCTAAATCTCCTGATGTTATTGAAGCAGTTGAAGTCGTTAGCACATCAAGCCAAGTCATCAAGGGTGCTTATGCCCCACTGACAAGAGAAGGTACTGTGGTTGTTAATGATGTTGTAGCTTCTTGCTATGCTGTTGTTAATGATCATAAATTTGCTCATGCAGGGTTTGGCCCATTACGTTTTCTTTATGATACTTTCCACACTTCCCTCCATAGCAAACAGAAGCAAGGGATTGCTTGGTATCCTTCAATGCTCCAGTCACTAGGTAAAGTATTCCTGGATGACAGCAACTACAAGCCAATGAAAGTTGAAGATCTGATCAAGAACAGTAATTAATATTTCGTAAAGTAAACTTTTATAATTTGATTATAGTTACACAAACTTATTACTATATTTCTTGCTATGCATGTGGGTTTAGCTGCATGTTTTTTGCTGCATTGATTTCATTATTTTTAGTTTTTATAGTTTAATTTTAATTTTGAAGAGATTATTGTGCTAAGCTAAATTTAGAATTAACATTAACAATAATACAGTATAGCAATAGGATTAATTGGTTAGCATAGTACTGTACTGCTAGTAAGTACATAACCAGAAACACAAATGTGCTAGATTCAAATACATTTTGGTGATGTTGTAACTACATCACTGACACCGACGCTAAAGGAAGTGGAAGTTCTAAAGTGTCACTTACTGTACAGTGACCAACATGCATAGTTTGCCTACTGATGCTAGTCAGGTGTGACCTGACTCTTGCACAGTGCAAGGGCCTGACTATACTGTGCCACCTCTTGTAACTATATACGGGTGTATCAATTTCAGTACAACTTGTTTACTACAATCCTTAACACTCCATTGTAGTATCTACTAGGAGTAATGCAGAACATTGAGGGGCGAACCTGAGTATGCACACGCAATTAGATATTATTAGTTAGATATTATTAGTTGTAAAGAATGAATCATTAATGAGAAAACAAGTATGAACAAAAATGAATCATCAATGAGAAAATGAGTATGAACAAACTGAGTATGAGATTCAGTTACTTAGTTGTCATGTACAACTGTTTTAACAACATTATTGGAGTCATAAGTAACTTTAATAGATCCAATATTAAACAGCTTTTCCATGACTGATCCTCCATCAATACCAGCCGTCATTAAGAGAAGCATATCATTGTATGCCATGAGCTGCCAGTTTTTGCCACTAGCACTTGTAATAATGAAGTGGGCTGATTTATGAGAACCACATTTAGAAAGCTTAACTGTAGCATGACACTTTATACATTGCCCGATGTGGTCATTGATCTAATTGACGTTCCCAGTGCAACTAATGCAAACTTGATATTCATTTGTATTCAGTACAACACTGATTTCACCTTCTGCAAAATGATTGGCATTGCTTCACATCTCTAGCTGCGACTCTTCTAATAGCCAGCCTGGCTTCTCTCTCTTCAGGAGTCTCTGCGGCCATTCTCTGGCTGTAGAGCTCCCTACGACGACTCTTACAAGCTTCTTCTTGATTCATTTCTCTGACTTCACTGTAAAAAATGCTACCACGTAAAAAATTGCTGAATACTGGTTAATTTTTGTTGCAAGTATGATTATATTGGCTTGTGTGCATGCACGTGAGCATAATCATAGTTAGAGTATTTAACATTAATAATAGTTAGACGATACTACTGCCTGTACAGACAGACAGACAGACGTTTTTTCGCCTTAGTGGGGCGAGCTCAGGCTCGCCCCAATAAATGCACTTATCATTAATTTACTGTTCTTTACTTGTGTCTCTCTTTTAGTAGCTACATATGTGCCCACTTATGCATGCAAGTTCAATCTGTTGAATTCCATTGCTTTAATGTTAAATCAGGCTTCATGCAATCATGTCTTCCACCCACTTTAATTGATACCTGATATACTTCACAAGAACTCATGAATCTAATAAATAATGCCATTCATACTTACAGAAGAACTATAATATAACAAAATAATCACTTGGGGTCACAGCTTGATAAAATTAATTTATGTGTACTACAGTACCTTATAGGTGAATTCATAAATTCACAAGAGCTCATAAATCTAATAAATACCTTCATATGAACCATATTGCAATAGAAATACCTCAATTCATAGCTTCATAGTAACTCATTCATAAATTTACTAAAAATCATCCAAGCCTGTTATAAAAGGAGCAGCTTACACCACTACACATCCATTCATTCATTCTTTGGAGCAGCTAGAATGTCTCTACAACAGATCCTCACAGTCTCTTCCCTTTTCATCTTCTTTGCTAGTCCATTAGTTACTAGAGCTGAAGAAGTTACTTGCAATCACAATACTCCAGTATGTGAATGTACAGCTACTAATCCTAATGATGTGTGCGAGTTTACGTTTGATATTGAGATGCTGCAGACGTTCACTCGATATCTGCTGAATGATACTGGAGACTCACGTGGTACTGCAGGCAGTGTCTGGCATATTAATAATGGAGAATGGGAACCAGTTGATTATGATCCTAGTATAGGCCGTAACACTCTCTGTGGTAGCTCTATTGATAGTACTAACTGCACTCAACCGTTTGGTGTTGATGGGTACACGTTTCGTTCCTTTATAGCAGTCAATGGACGTATACCAGGACCAACACTCATTGTAACTGAGGGTCAGTTGGTTAAAGTGAATGTAATCAATAGATTAGCATCAGAGA